CCCATATAATCCAAGGGAGGAAAGACTACCTCCTGTGGGAGAATATCCACAAGAGAGTATAAGACTTGCAACCACACTGTGCAGGTACTGCTAACCACTCGACTGTACAAAAAAGCATCACAAGTGCCCAGCGCACTCGGCAGCTGCCACGCATACTGGTGTATTCGAGATGTGGATGTGATTGGCTAGGACTATCGAGGTACCAAACAATCCCTGACTATCTGAGATACAACCACAACAACTATAGGGTGAACGTGTGTAATGGTAGGTATAGTGAAGCGCCTGGACACGTACAGGGTGTGTTGTAGGGTCTTTCTATGGGACCGAGGCTGAGGAAAGAATCACTGAGCGCGCAAGGGTCCATCGACTGACACGTCACAGCAACAACACTCCTACTGCGGAACGGAAGGAATGCACCCACTTGCCACCCACACATACTAACACTTACCGCGATACACCAACGTCCCGGTTTATCCCGTTATTGCAGCGCTCAAAGCATTGCGAGTTGCAGAGGTAGTCACACTTGAGTAGTAGTGCAACAGGCCTAAGCGTAACACACTCGACACTCTCGTCACACACAACACACACACTATCGACTACACCCACGCGCACACACGCACACACACCTGAATAGCCGTCACCAACGCGATGGCAAAGGCTTCGCTCGTGAGCATCTCCGCGGGTGCCATGGCAACCACACTGGCACGTTTCTTGACCATGCGTGCCTGTGTAGGTATCATGCGCGACACCTTCGGTGCCTTGGGTAACTTGTCCTTGGGAGGTTCGGTACACGCAATAGGCAACATGGAGGCAAACAGCTGAACACCACCAAGCCCTGTTTGTGACTGTGACTGTGTGTGTGCCTGTGGCTGTGTGTGTGTCTGTGGCGAGAGAGTGTATTGTGCGCGTGTGTAAGTTGGCTGTGGTGCAGTCTGCGATATCCGCAGCCCCGCCAGAGCCTCTTGAAGATCCTGCGTCGTTGCAGACGGTTGCGTATCCCTCTCACTTCGCGCGTGTGACTTTAATTGCGAGTGTGGCTGTACGTGTGGTTGTAAGTGTGCGTGTGTTTGTGTGTGTGCGTTGAATGGCTCCCCCTCACTCTGTGCCGTGGCAAACGGCGTATTGGGCTGTGAGTGCGGGCGTGTGTGGCCCGTGTGCACACCCACGGACTCACCTAGTGGTGGTGGTGGTGGTGCGGTGTGGTCTGTTGCTGCGTAGCCGTAAGTGGGTGTAGGCGAGTGCATCTGTGTGTGTTGTGCGTTTACATGACTCATGTCTCCAGTGGGCCCGTGGTATGGCATGCCCGTGTCAGTTCGGTACTGTTGCGGCGTCTGCGGCGTCCCGGTTTGTCCCGGTATCTGGTGTTGGTGTTGGTGTTGGTGTTGGTGAGTTACCTGTTGCCCTATCGACTGGGCTGATTGTTGGCGTAGCATTTGCGGTGGTGGTTGGCCCAGTTGTTGCTGGGACAGTCCATTTCCGTTCGGGTGCAGGAGCATGTCTCTGCCCGTGCCGTGGTTGCCATGGTGATGAGGGGGGTGTTGCGGCTGTTGCGGCTGTGTGGGGTGTTGCTGTACCGAAGTGTACGTCGACTCTCCCGTGGAGGATCGTTCTTGTGCTGAACTGGCCCTGAACGAGAGAGACAGCACACATACATATGACAGTATATGGTTAGTACCCCCTGAACGATATATCCAAGCTACAAACCCGACCCCCTGCTGCAGGGACCATACATGGTCTGTAACCATAGCAACCGTGTGCACATCTACACGTATGGTATTTAACCTTGTGATCCATACATGTGCAACGATGTCACCACTTCTCTGTGCCATCTGCACCTGACGTGACACGATGTCATTGGGCGACATGACACGAGGACATTGGGTGTGCTTTTGTGCGTTGTCCAAGGTCATGGCCCTATGTGATTGGTACGTGCGCCAGTCCTAAATCAAATCGCGGAAATGCGGAAAACTACGAACTTCCCGATATGGTATGTATGCTAATGGAAATAATGACGCACAGGTAGTCACAATTGGAGCCAATGTAGTCACAATTGAAGCAAAGGTAGTGACTATATACTAATATATATATATGTCTGGATATACATACATATAACTAAATACACATACATGTATCTCTATAAACATATCTATACACACATCTTTGTAATAGACCTGACTCACCTCTGTAGCAAGTGTAGTAAGCTGATGCCTGGTTGTGCAGCCATGTTTGCGTCATCGGCCGGACGCACAGGACTGGTCAGTGAGGGATATGTCTCTGCAGAGTACTTTGGGCAACGACATATATGGTTGCAATGGTAAGCACAAGGACTGTACACTACTGGGATCAAACTATATAACACACACACACTG